CGGCCGCTGAACGCCTTCAGATTCCTTCAACAGCACGGCACTTACAGCCAGATCGGCCACCGCCAGGTACATGTACAATCTCTCCCCGGGATCCGCTTTGGTGAGGACGAGCGGAGAGGAGAGATATACCTTGAAATCTTCGAAGGCAGCCTGACACTCCGGGGTCCACTCAAAGGGATTGGCCTTCTTCATGATCTGGAAAAAGGGAATCGCCTTATCGGCCAGTTTGGACAAGAACCTGCTCAGGGCCGCCAGACGCCCGGTGAGTCGCTGCACATCCTTTAGGCTCTTCGGGGCCTCCATGTCCATAATTGCCTTCACTTTCTCCGGGTTGGGCTCGATCCCCCGCTCGCTCATCATGTAGCCGAGGAACTTGCCACCCCGGACGGCGAAGGCACATTTCTTCGGATTGAGCCTCATGCTGGCCCTCTCCATGATGTCGAAGACCCTCTCCATGTCCCGGACATGGTCCTCCTTTCTCTTGCTCTTGATCAGGATGTCATCCACGTAAGCTTCCATTGTCTTCCCAAGTACGTCTTTGAACAACATCCCAATCATCCTTTGAAAAGTTGCCATGGCGTTCCTCAGGCCGAACGGCATGACGATGTAGCAATACACGCCGTCCGCCGTGACGAACGCCGTTTTCTCGGCATCATCGGGGTGCATGAACACCTGATGGTAGCCCCTGAATGCGTCCATGAAACTGAGCAGCTCACAGCCTGCCGTTTCATCCACCAGCAAGTCGATCCTTGGAACGGGATAAGGATCCACCGGGCAAGCTTTGTTTAGGTCCGAATAATCGACGCACATCCGCCAAGTGTCGCCCTTTGGGGCTAGTACCACGTTGGCCAGCCACTCCACGTGGATGACCGGCCGGATGTGTTTGATGCTGAGGAGAGTTGCCGTCTCCTTCTTGATGAAATCGCGTCGGTCGGCCGCCATGTATCTTTTCTTTTGCTGTACAGGCCTGGCGTCCGGCCGCACGGCGAGTCTGTGGCATATGAGGTTGGGGTCGATGCCCGGCATGTCCTCCGGTCCTCTGGCGAACAAGACCCGGAACCTCCGCAGGACAGCTATGACCCCCGCCCTGATCTCCGGCTCTAAATCTGCACCGATGGACACCTTCCTGTCCGTTGGATCGTCGAGCTCAATTTCCTCCAGCAGAGTTGCTGGTTCCAGATGAGCGTCCAAGTCGGCCTGTTTGGCCTTTTCGGAGATGCTGTTGACCCGAGCCTCCCGCTCGTTGAGCTTCTCCATGGCCTTCGTGTAGCAGGCCCTGGCCATATGTGGGTCCGTACGTGCCACCCCCACTCCAGTGTCGGTGGGGAATTTGATGCATGAATGTCGTACGGAGCATATGGCCCCCAAGTCTTCCAAGCCGGGTCGGCCCAAAATGGCGTTGTGGGCGCACTTCAGGCGGACCACGACGAACGTCATGCTGATCCGGGCAGTGTGAGGGCCGTCGCCGACCTCTACCGGTAAAATGATGGTGCCCTCAGCGTCAATGCAATCCCCGGTAAAGCCGGACAGCGGGGTGCGTAGGGGGTGCAGCATGTCCTTCCGGAGCCTCATTCCTTCGAAAGCCTCCCAGTAGAGGACGTTCACACTGCTCCCGGTATCAACGAGGACGCGACGGACGATAGCATCGTTCACGTCCATGCTGATCACCAGCTCGTCTCTGTGGGGCGCCGGTGACATTGGCAGGTCGGCGGGGACGAAGGTAATTGCCTCGGCTCTATTGCGCTTGGTGGGGGGTGCTGATACGGAACCCACATAGAGTGACCTCTCAAATTTTTTCCGCTCGGCGGGTGTATCCCCTGTCTCAGCGCCCCCGAAGATCACCTTGATCTCCAATTTCTTCTTCTTGCCCTTCGGGCCGAGGGATCCCTCCGGACGTTTATCTGCACTTCGATAATCCACGTCCTGAGGTTCTGCCTCGCGCCGATCGTCGCGGCGCCATGTCTTGTGCCTTGAGTTCGGCTTCTGCTGGCTGTTTTTGTTCAGCAGCTGGGTGAACTCGCCCAGGTACCCCTGACGGATCAGCTCGTCGATCGCTTTCTTTAATTGGCTGCAATTATCCGTCAGGTGGCCGGTCCTCTGATGGTATTCACAGTAGGCCGATTGGTCGTGCCCCATATGTTTATTCATATCCTGGGGTTCCGTTAGGAGGCCCTTGTCCTTGATGGCCTCAAAGATTTGGCTCACTGGATAGGCCAAAGGGACATAGCGGTCGTCCGGCCGTGCTTGAGTATCCCCGGACGGAGCCTTCCAAGGGATCATCGCCCCGTCTGTCCTCTTCTTTTTGTTTGGGGGGGAGGGCCCGGGTCCCGGCCCGGGCCCGAGCCTGTCCGCCATCTTCCGTGGGTGGGCCGCGGGAACTCCGTCCCGCTGTCTGATCTCCTCCTCAATGGAGGCATACTTCTGGGCCCGAGCAAGAACCTCGGTGTAGCTGGTGCCGGGATTCCTCCTTAGGTCCCGGTATAGATCCCCTGTGGCCAGCGCATTGGTGAACATGTTGGTGGCCAGACGTTCGTCCAGATCGTCGACCTGAAGGACCTCGTCCCTCCACCTTACCAGGAACCTAGCCAGCGGTTCGTCCCGCCCTTGTTTGATGTGGGCGAGAGCCGTGACGTCCTTCCTGGGGGTGGTGCTGGCAGCAAACTGCGCCATGAACTGCTGGGAGAGCTGTTCGTATGAGTCGATGGTGCCTGGCCTCAACTGGCCGAACCATTCTTGCGCCGGCCCCCTGAGGGTGCTGAAGAACAATCTGCAGATGGCCTCGTCTGATGCTCCCAGCATGGACAGGTTCCCTTGGTAGCTTATCAGATGGGCCTTGGGATCGCCAGCCCCATTGTACACCAAGTTGCCCGGGGGCCTGCAGTCCCGGGGAATCTCGACGCTCATCACCCGTGGAGTAAAGGGAGATGTGAGAGAGAAAGAGGGTGTGGCCGAGCCAATGTCCGCCCGCCTATTCATCTCGGCTATCTGCCTTTCCATGGCCTCCAACCTTGCATCCTGTGCGGCCCTTCCGGGGGACACAGGGGGCGCGGCTTCGGGGACGGCATTCTGCTGAGCGGCCACAGCATCGTGCGGCCGCCTAAAAATCTGCGCACCTCGCCGTTGGAAACGTCGTCCAACGGTGTTGATCCTCGGGGTCTCGTCTCCCCGCGGGATTTGGCGGGGGACTGATGGTGTGTGAGCTCTGGACGCAGCGATGCTGACTCTGGTTCGCCCTCCCGTTCCACGGGAGCCTGAACCCCCACCTAGCCGCTCGTGGACTGAGGGCCGGTGGTCGCTGGATCCTGTCGTATCGTCATACGACTGCATGCGGCGTATGGGAGAGAGGGGCGTTCGCTGGGTACTCGCAGAGTACACCCGGTCTCGGGCCTCCCGCTCGTCTGCCAAGCGACGCATGGTGTCTGCGAGTTCCCGCATGAGGCGAGGATCCTGCCTGGCTTCCAGAGGAATGAGGTCAGTGATACCCCCGTTCCCCCCGGAGGTCCATATTGTTGCGGATAGTTCCGAGTTCTGGCCGCGATTCCGGCGGCTTGATTCCAGACGCTCGGAGAGATCACGCTGGTTGTTGCTTCCTGACATCGTGTTTGCTGTAGGTAGACTTAGTAGCTGTTTGGGAGAGTTTCTGGAAACTTTTTGCTCAGTTTCCCACAGACGGCGCCAGTGTTGAGGTTTATTCCTTCAACCCTTGGACCCAACACGTAAGCCCAAAGATTTCGAGTGGAGTGAGTGTATGAATGTCTAGCCCAACAACTATCAGATGGATCAGGAGACAAAAGTAATAGCAGGCAATGTAAATAGGTATTATTAACTCCGTAATAACTCCCCTAAGTACAATCTACTTGCTAAAAAAGGCACGTCGGCCGTTCGTCTTACAAGGCACTTAGAAATGTCGCTAGTAAGAATGCTGAAGCTAGTACGCTAAGAATAGAAAGTTGCCAACCCTTTACAATGAAATAAATGCTTCTATTTATACCCGCCAATGGGCAGGTAGCTGTACTGACGTGGCAGCCTGTGGACCGCTGGTGTCCCAACTACCAAATCTTCAGCATTAAATGCACTTCCCGCCAGAATCTAGGCTTCCCGCCGGATTAGTGGGGACGTTCGTCCACCCGGGAAGTGAGTTGGATTGCTCCAAGTGACCCCTGAGGGATATTGGCCGTCCGTCTCCTGGCCTTGATAGATATTCACCATGTGCGCTGGGTTTTCTCTGATGACTACATGCTTGCTCTGGGGACGTTCGTCGCCATCCCTGGTGGCCCGTGGCTCTGCTCCTTGTCCCTGCATAGACGTTCGTCGGAATGAGCTGCTGGGCCGGAGTCCTCCAACACCAGCCGTTCGTCCATCCCTAAAGAATATGGGCCTGTGGGCTGGCCTAGTTTCTAGCTGGACGCTCGTCTGGCAGAATGGGTTAGTGGGCCGGACCTCGGCTTGGGCCCTTAACCCAACACGACCTTTGGTTATCAAGTTGCAAGATCTCTTATCGTTAAGATGGGCCCCTTAACAATTAGTATGACAGTAACTTGAGCCAAACGGTTATTATGTACGTTTATGCCAATTGTCGAAAATAACCCCCTATAATGACACTCATGATTGTTTTTAGTCTCAAATGATGAGGTAGAAATTAATAAGTAAATATGTGAGCTGAATTACTCCTCTTATTAAAAGTCATAATAAAGTATCTCACTTTACTTTCTCCTTGTTATCTAATATGAAGTATATTTCAAAATAAAATAAAATAAAATTAAAGTGCTTATTATTTAACCTGAAAGTTATGCACTTCTAAATGTACTATTGAATAAAGTACAATTTATATTACAATATTGAACTAATATTTGTTCATTTTTATCTTTTCGAAGATATGGAGTTAACTAAAATTTCTCCATGTGGCTCTGAACAATGTCTAATAGACAGTGCCACAACGCACACCATTTTGAGACATAGAGATTATTTTTCTCATATGACATTAGTTGATGCTAATGTCAATACAATCTCAGGTGTTGCTAAACTCATTGAAAGTTCTGGAATAGCCTGTGTGATTCTCCCAAAAGGGACAAAATTAATAATTAAAGACGCTTTATACTCCAGTAAATCACGGAGAAATCTTTTGAGCTTTAAAGATTTGCGTCTAAATGGTTTTCATATTGAAACCATGTCTGAAAATCAGAAGGAATATTTATGTCTAACGACAAATAGATCTGGCAATAAATACATTTCTGAAAAAATGCCAGCATATTCCTCGGGACTGTATTATACATATATCAGTCCAATTGAGATAAATGTGGTATCTAAAATTTATGACCACAATTCCTTTATCTTGTGGCATGACCGTTTAGGTCATCTAGGCAGCACTATGATGCACAAAATTATTGAAAATTCACGTGGACATTCATTAACTAATGTCAAGATTCCACAATCAAGTGATTTTCCGTGCACTGCCTGTTCTCTTGGCAAATTAATTATCAGGCCATCTTTATACAAAATTGGAGTTGAATCTCCTGCATTTTTAGAAAGAATTCAAGGAGATATTTGTGGGCCAATTACCCCTCCGTGTGGACCGTTTCGATATTTTATGGTGCTCATTGATGCATCAACACGTTGGTCACATGTCAGTCTTTTATCGACTAGAAATTTTGCATTTGCAAATCTCCTTGCTCAAATTATTCGTTTGAGATCACAATTTCCGGATAATTCGATAAAGAAAATCCGACTTGATAATGCAGGAGAATTTACATCCCAAACTTTTAATGACTATTGCATGTCAATTGGGATTGATGTGGAACATCCAGTTCCACATGTACATACACAAAATGGTCTTGCCGAATCCTTAATTAAGCGATTACAATTAATTGCTAGACCATTATTGATGAAATCCAGATTACCATCATCTGCATGGGGATATGCTATAATGCATGCTGCAAATTTAATTCGGCTTAGGCCAACGGCATATCATAAATTTTCCCCATTACAATTAATATCTGGTAAAGAACCAAATATATCACACCTAAAAATATTTGGTTGTTCTGTGTATGTACCAATTGCTCCACCTTATCGTACTAAAATGGGTCCTCAAAGAAGGCTGGGAATTTATGTTGGTTTTAAATCACCCTCAATTATTAATTATCTAGAACCTATGACCGGTGACTTATTCACCGCGCGGTTCGATGACTGTCATTTTGATGAGACAGTATTCCCAGCCTTAGGGGGAGATATTAAAGAAATGGACCCACGTACGAAAGATATTACTTGGAATGCAACAAATTTATCTTTTCTTGATTCTCGCACAAATGCTTGTGAACAAGAAATTCAAAAGATTATTCATTTACAAAATGTTGCAAACCAATTGCCTGATGCTTTCACAGACTCAAAGAAAGTGACAAAGTCACATGTTCCAGCTATGAATGCTCCTTCTCGAATAGAAATTCCTGCGGAGATTAGCGAAAGAACACTTGCTAATGAATCTATGATACGTAAAAAAACGTGGTAGACCACTTGGTTCAAGAGATTTGAAACCAAGAAAATTTAAACAGCAAGTTGTAGTTTGTGATGCCAAAGAAGTTCAACCTTCTCAAGAAGAAAATGAACATTTTGAAAATATCGGCCTTGAAGATAACATCAACAATAATGATACCTCAAAAGAGGATCCAATCACCTTCGAAGAGGTAAATATTCCAGATAAAGATAGAAACGTCAATAATTTTGAAATTTCAATTAATTACGTTTCTAATGGAATACAATGGAATAGAAATGATATTGATGTTAATGATATATTTTCTTATGCCATCGCCACAGATATAATGAATGAACACGATGACAATGAGCCTAAATCTATTGACGAATGTCGTCGTAGAAATGATTGGCCAAAATGGAATGAAGCAATTCAGGTAGAATTAAAATCGCTAGAAAAGCGTAATGTTTTTGGACCAATTGTCCATACGCCAAAAGGCGTAAAACCTGTCGGTTTTAAATGGGTTTTTGTGCGTAAACGCAACGAGAAAAATGAAATCGTTAGATACAAAGCCCGACTTGTTGCCCAAGGTTTTTCTCAAATGCCAGGAATCGATTATGAGGAGACGTATTCTCCAGTAGTTGATGCTACAACTTTAAGATTTTTAATTGGCATGTCTGTTTTTGAAAGGCTGCAAATGCGCCTAATGGATGTGGTGACCGCATATTTATACGGTTCACTCGATACAGACATATATATGAGAATTCCTGGAGGCTTTAAAATACCTGATGCTTATAGCTCGAAATCTCGAGATTTATTTTCCATAAAATTGCAAAAGTCATTATATGGATTAAAACAATCTGGACGCATGTGGTATAACCGTCTCAGTAAATATTTGATTAAAGAAGGGTATAAAAATGATCCTATTAGTCCATGTGTTTTCATTCAGCGATCCGAATCAGGATTCGCCATAATTGCAGTTGATGGAGTATATGGCCCGGGAACCCCCGGCCCATAGACTCCTACTTCTCCTGCACAAGTTCATTGGGCCCAGGGAACAACTCAGGCCCAAAATGCAGCGGCCCAAGCCTCAACGTAGCCCAGAATACGCACTGGGGTGCCTTCGGCCTCCTTGACCGAAGGCTCCAACCTCACAGGGTAGCCTTCTCTGGCATAAGAGGCTACTGGGAGAAAACGGCGAAAAACATGAGCCTTCGGCATTATCTAGCCCTCGGCATCAGAGAAGCCCCCGGCTAAACCATGCCTCCGGTCACACAGGGCCTTCGGCCACACAGGGGTCCTCACCGCGTGGAGCCCCCGGCTACACAAGGAGTCTTCGCCTACACAGGGATCCTTGGCTACGTGGAGCCCTCGGCTACACAGGAAGCCTTCGGCCAAACATGCTCAATCATCGAAGATTCCTTTTGGAGACAGCCAACCACCGCATTTAATGCCACGTCACATCCACCAACTGCATTCAATGCGGTGAACGTACCACTGCCGGTGCCACCCGACTGATGTGACCCTTCGGCCGTTGGATTACTGACACGTGTACTCTCATCGCATTTATTGCTGCTATAAATAGCAGCCCATTTCTCCTTGTAAATCATCATCTACATCTCAACTCCACACGCTGAGTTCATTTAATAAAATCGACTCTCTCTCCTCTTATTTACTCTGATTTCTCTCTAGTTATTCCCGCAATAACCCCTCGGATAAGATACCCCCCGGGTAGACTATCCATCATTTGGTGCTCTCGTTGAGAGGTCTGAACTATCAAGTAAGAAACTCTCCCCCTCTACCAAATACAGAACACCTACCGAAAATGGGAAGAACCACTCGTGCCCAATCCAAAAACCTAGAGGAAAGCCACGTAGCCCCCGGCGAAACGAACGGGGCTGAGGCCTCCAACAGGCTCTTAGTGCCCGAGGGTGGTATCATCCTCGAATTGGAGCAGGCTACTGTTGACCTCCGTCAGCAGCTACAGAAGAACGCCCCTGACGCCCGCATTGGCCTTGATAATCGAAGGAGGGATCGGAGTGAGAACCAAGTTCCCCCTCCGGCCCCGGCCATCGATCTTCAGGCAGCCTTTGCGGCCTTTGTTCAGAACATGGCTCTCAATTCCGGGGCCCTCGTCTCTCAGGCTCCCCTTCAGCCTTACGCTGGAGGAAATGTTATTCAACTGCCACCACTCCCCCCTCTGTTCAACAGTCCTCCCCCGGGGATTGGCAATGCCGAGGGGGTCATAGCGCAGGATACCGCCTCCCAAGAGGCCCAATCCAGGGACAAGCGCCCCATGATGAAAGAGAAACCCCGAACCTCTGTACTTGAGAGGCTTGGGGGAGCTCCCGGGCACCGAGGGGTCCAAGACCGCCTCGGGAAACAAGCATTCAGCAGGCTCCAAGAGAGTGGAGCCTCTGCTTCGGGCGCCGAGGGCGTGCCTCCCCCCCGAAGCAAAGGCAAAGCCCCCCTCCATGCCGATGACGCCAGGCACCAGATCAATCAGGCGCAATCCTTCCGGGCCAACTCCCAAGGGGTTGCCCCGAAGGATCCCAAGGACGAAATCATTGAAGTCCTCCTCCGTCAACTCGAGGAGAATCGTCAGGCGCCCCCGACGGCTTCCACAGCAAGGCCAGATCCTGAGTACGCCGACCTCCGGGCGCAGATGGAGGAAATGAAGCGTAAGCTTGCCGAAGGCTCAGGCGAGCCCCTCATCCAACTCCGCACTAGGACGCCTTTCACCCCAAGGGTGCTGGCGGCCAAAATCCCCCATAAATATCGGGGGCAGCCCATCAAACCATACGAGGGGAAAACAGATCCCCAAGAACACTACAGCAGGTATCAGAACAGTATGATGATGATGGGGGCCTCGGATGAGTACTTATGCCGCTGGTTCCTTTCCACCTTGGAGGGGCCCGCGTATGAGTGGTTCAACCGATTGCCCGAAGGGAGCATTGATTCTTGGCAAGAACTTGCCCACCGCTTCCTTACGCAATTTGCTGGGAGGCATCGCTCAAAGAAGCACTTCTCCCACCTCCTGAACGTGAGACAACAGAAGGAGGAAACCCTTCGGAGTTTCCTGGAACGCTGGAGGCAGGCCTCCCTCGAGGTGAAGGCGCTGATGACAGGACACTAATGGCCCTCTTCCACACCGTCCTCCGCAACGGTAACTTCTCCCGGAGCCTCATTACTGATCCCCCCCGCGATTATACAAAGGCCCTTCAGCGGGGGGACCGATATGCTGAAGCGGAGGAAATCGAGAAGGACCGCCGCAACACGGACCCCTCTCAGAAGAATGAAGGCAGGAATCGGCCCGGAGGGCCTCCCCCTCCGGCCAACCGCGAGGCCCAATACAACGATCGCTCCCGAGGTGGCCAAGCCAAACCCGGGGGCGGTTACAAGAACAATCCGAAGGCATGGGCGCAACCCGTCCTCCTTGAGCACCCACGCACTCCCTTGACGCATCCCGTCAGCGTCATTCTTGATCATGCGGAAGAGCGGGGGCTCGTAGAGCGAGACTCCTGCACGCCCCTCGAGATTTATGCCATCGGTCCTGATGAGCCCTACTGCCGCTTCCACCGCCACCATGGACACAAAACCGACGACTGCCATCAGCTGAAGAACGCCATCGAGAGGCTGATACAGGCGGGCCACTTGTCCCAATTTATCAGGGGCCCTCCGCCCCAGGGTCCCCCTCATCATCAAGGCCCTCCGCCGAGGGCAAACAAGTGGGTGAACCCCAACACCATTCCCTTAGGAAACCCGCATGGGAAGAAGCGTGAAATTGGTGGCCTCGAAGACGAGGGGGAGGGCTCCCATCAACAATACAAGCGCCATATTCACATGATTAACGGCGGCAACACTGGTGGAGACTCCACCAGCCAACGGAAGAAGTGGGCACAGTCCCTTTACATTGGGGAAGTCAATCACCTGCCCCCAACTAAACGGCCGAGGGCGGATCCAATTTTCTTCACAGATGCGGACCTCCCCTCGGGTTCTCTGCCGCATAGGGATGCCCTCGTCATCCGCACTGAGATCAACGACGCCATCATCCACCGGACTTATGTCGACACGGGGAGTTTTGTCAACGTCATGTATCTCAGCACTTTTCAAGAGTTGGGACTCGACAGGGGGTCCCTTCGGCACATCAACACCCCCCTCTCCGGATTCACGGGGGACAGCATCGACGCCGAGGGAGTCATCACACTCATGGTCGAATTCGGCGACGGATCCCATAGAGCCAAGCTCGAAGTGGAGTTCGTCGTCGTCAACCTCGACTGCGCACATAACATCATCCTCGGCCGGCCTGCCCTCGAAGATTTGGAGGCTGTCATCTCCATGAGGCACCTCTGCCTCAAGTTCCCCACACCTACCGGCATCGGTTACTCGAGGGGAAATCAGAAGCTCTCCAGGGCCTGCTACCTTCAACTTACCAAGAAGGTTAGTAAAACCGAATTTCGGATTGACACCATCACCGCCAAGGCCCTGGAGGAAGAAGAAGGTAGGCCGAGGGCTGAGCCTGCCGAGGAGACCGAAGATTTCTTACTCGATCCGGCCAAGCCGGAGAGAGTCCTGAAGATTGGAGCCAAGCTCCCCGAAGACTTGAAGGCTGGCATCACCAAGGCCCTCCGCGCCTACTCCATTGTTTTTGCATGGGGGCCGGAGGATATGCCAGGAATTGACCGAAGGGTTATCACCCACCGCCTAGCGGTAGACCCTTCGGCCAAACCAGTGCAACAGCGGAGAAGACCCCTCTCGGCCGAGAGAAGGGAGTTCGTAAAGAAGGAGGTATCTATGCTCCTCTCCATCAAGCACATCAAGGAGGTGAAATACCCTTCTTGGCTGGCAAACGTAGTCCTCGCACAGAAGCCTCCTACCTTCCGCATGTGCGTGGACTACACGGACCTAAATAAGGCGCGCCCCATGGACCCCTTCCCACTGCCAAACATTGATCAGCTGGTTGATGAGACCGCGGGATGCGAAATCATGTCCTTCCTCGACGCATTCCGCGGGTATCATCAAATCTATATGCATGAAGAAGACGCTGAAAAAACTGCCTTCGTGACACCCGAAGGCATCTTCTGCTACCTTGTGATGGCCTTCGGCCTCAAGAATTCGGGCGCCACCTACACCCGAATGGTGGCCAGGGTCTTTCAAGCTGTCCTAGGACGCACCATGGAGGCTTACGTTGACGACATGATCGTCAAAAGCAAGAAGGCCGGCACCCACGCCGACGACCTCCGGGAGATTTTTGCCATCATGCAAAAATTCAACCTCCGGCTAAATCCGAAGAAGTGCACCTTCGGCGTACAAGGAGGGAAGTTCTTGGGCTACATGGTCAGCCGAAGGGGTATTGAGGCCAACCCCGAGAAAATTCAAGCCATCATCAACATGGAGCCCCCGCGCAACGTCAAAGAAGTTCAACGGTTGACGGGTCGCCTGGCGGCCCTCAACCGATTCCTCTCTAAGTCAGCCGAGAGGGCCCTCCCCTTCTTCCAAATCATGAGGAAGACAACTGGCTTCCAATGGACATCTGAGTGTCAAGAGGCCTTCGACGAACTTAAGAAGTACCTCTCTTCTCCCCCGGTGCTCTCCAAACCGAAGGTGGGGGAGACCTTATACTTATACCTCGGCGTTAGCCCTGCGGCTATCAGCTCAGTACTAATCCGAGAGGAAGACGACATCCAACATGCCATCTTCTACGTCAGCAAAACCCTCCGGGAGGCCGAACTCAGATATTCTCCCGTCGAGAAGACGGTGCTAGCCATCGTTTGGGCCGTCAAGAAGCTTGGCCACTACTTTCAAGCTCATCCGGTCCAAGTGCTCACTCATCAACCCCTCGGCGCCCTCATGAGGAGCCCCACAAGTTCCTCCCGAATGGTGAAATGGGCCATCTTCCTCAGTCAATACAACATAGATATCCGTCCGAGGCCTGCCATTAAGGGCCAAGCCCTGGCAGACTTCGTAACGGAGTGCACCGCAAGAT